AAGCAATTTCAGAGAATCCACCAGCAGCTGAGAAGTAAAACTCATTTGCTTAGATGGACTGCTATGGATTTTTTAATTCAGAAATGTACAAACAAGCGTACCTTTAATAAAGGTAACTATTCTTGAGTATTTTTTGTAATATATGTTTAATTATGATGAACTACAACATTTATGAATATTTATAATGTAATGTTAGCATGGACACCTGTACTTTCCCACAATTATTGAATTGTTCCAGAATGTTTTTTATTCAACAAAGGGTTTGTGGCGAGTGCATTTGCAAGCCTATATATGGGCGTTATTGAAGAAAAATATATTTACTCGGATCATGATTTTAGTGCTAATATCTTGATTTGGAAGAGATTGGAAGACTGCTTTTGCCTTTTTAAGGGTAGTGTTGAACAATGTAACACTAGTTTCTACCGAGACCTGCTCTGAAGATTTGCTGTTCACCATGGATTTTAAATGATGTTTTATTAACAAGGTTCGGTGGAGCACGTTCTAATGATCAAACAATCAAGTCATTTCAACCAGCTGTCAGCAATCAGTAATCAACAGGTCCACTCAATCAGCATGAGTAAGGCCTATAAATATACGCAGTCGACCCATATTCCTCGACAGTTTTCAGCATCCCTCCACCACCCCATCTCCTCACACTTGCCTGGCCATCTTCCTAACTTGAATGTTGAATTGTCAATACAACTGAAAAATTTGAGAGAACATCACATTAGCTGACTTCAAAAATTTACATTGATTTTCCTCAAATGTTTTTAGTCCCTGTGGCGAGCAGGACGAGGCTGAGGGCCGTATTATAAAATATCTGGGCAGATGACCCCAAGTAATCTGAATGAACTATTGATTTTTTTCCTATCATGTGCATTATGATGCATACATTCGTATGATCTGATGATCTAATTGTGACAGAGTCAGCCACACGTCACAGCCCCAATCATCACTCAATCACCAGGACCCGCCCACTCGTCCAAAATCACCAGGACCCGCCCACTCGTTCACAATCACCAGTACCCGCCCACTCGTCCACAATCACCAGGACCCGCCCACTCGTTCACAATCACCAGGACCCGCCCACTCGTCCACAATCACCAGGACCCGCCCACTCATTCACAATCACCAGGACCCGCCCACTCGTCCAAAATCACCAGGACCCGCCCACTCGTTCACAATCACCAGGACCCGCCCACTCGTCCACAATCACCAGGACCCCCCACTCATTCACAATCACCAGGACCCGCCCACTCGTTCACAATCACCAGGACCCGCCCACTCGTCCACAATCACCAGGACCCGCCCACTCGTCCACAATCACCAGGACCCCCCCACTCATTCACAATCACCAGGACCCGCCCACTCGTTCACAATCACCAGGACCCGCCCACTCGTTCACAATCACCAGGACCCCCCCACTCATTCACAATCACCAGGACCCGCCCACTCGTCCACAATCACCAGGACCCGCCCACTCGTTCACAATCACCAGGACCCGCCAACTCATCCACAATCACCAGGACCCGCCCACTCGTTCACAATCACCAGGACCCGCCCACTCGTCCACAATCACCAGGACCCGCCCACTCATTCACAATCACCAGGACCCGCCCACTCGTCCAAAATCACCAGGACCCGCCCACTCGTTCACAATCACCAGGACCCGCCCACTCGTCCACAATCACCAGGACCCGCCCACTCGTCCACAATCACCAGGACCCCCCACTCATTCACAATCACCAGGACCCGCCCACTCGTCCACAATCACCAGGACCCCCCACTCATTCACAATCACCAGGACCCGCCCACTCGTCCACAATCACCAGGACCCCCCACTCATTCACAATCACCAGGACCCGCCCACTCGTCCAAAATCACCAGGAGCCGCCCACTCGTCCACAATCACCAGGACCCCCCCACTCATTCACAATCACCAGGACCCGCCCACTCGTCCAAAATCACCAGGACCCGCCCACTCGTTCACAATCACCAGGACCCGCCCACTCGTCCACAATCACCAGGACCCTCCCACTCGTCCACAATCACCAGGACCCCCCACTCATTCACAATCACCAGGACCCGCCCACTCGTTCACAATCACCAGGACCCGCCCACTCGTCCAAAATCACCAGGAGCCGCCCACTCGTCCACAATCACCAGGACCCCCCCACTCATTCACAATCACCAGGAACCGCCCACTCGTTCACAATCACCAGGACCCGCCCACTCATTCACAATCACCAGGACCCACCCACTCGTCCAAAATCACCAGGACCCCCCCACTCATTCACAATCACCAGGACCCACCCACTCGTCCAAAATCACCAGGACCCCCCCACTCGTTCACAATCACCAGGACCCGCCAACTCGTCCACAATCACCAGGACCCGCCCACTCGTTCACAATCACCAGGACCCGCCCACTCGTCCACAATCACCAGGACCCCCCCACTCATTCACAATCACCAGGACCCGCCCACTCGTTCACAATCACCAGGACCCGCCCACTCATTCACAATCACCAGGACCCCCCCACTCATTCACAATCACCAGGACCCGCCCACTTGTCCAAAATCACCAGGACCAGCCCACTCGTTCACAATCACCAGGACCCGCCCACTCGTCCACAATCACCAGGACCCGCCCACTCGTCCACAATCACCAGGACCCCCCCACTCATTCACAATCACCAGGACCCGCCCACTCGTTCACAATCACCAGGACCCGCCCACTCATTCACAATCACCAGGACCCCCCCACTCATTCACAATCACCAGGACCCGCCCACTCGTCCAAAATCACCAGGACCAGCCCACTCGTTCACAATCACCAGGACCCCCCCACTCATTCACAATCACCAGGACCCGCCCACTCGTCCACAATCACCAGGAACCCCCACTCGTCCACAATCACCAGGACCCGCCCACTCGTTCACAATCACCAGGACCCGCCCACTTGTCCACAATCACCAGGACCCCCCACTCGTCCACAATCACCAGGACCCGCCCACTCGTTCACAATCACCAGGACCCGCCCACTTGTCCACAATCACCAGGACCCGCCCACTCGTCCACAATCACCAGGACCCGCCCACTCGTCCACAATCACCAGGACCCGCCCACTCGTTCACAATCACCAGGACCCGCCCACTCGTCCACAATCACCAGGACCCGCCCACTCATTCACAATCACCAGGACCCGCCCACTCGTCCACAATCACCAGGACCCGCCCACTCGTTCACAATCACCAGGACCCGCCCACTTGTCCACAATCACCAGGACCCGCCCACTCATTCACAATCACCAGGACCCGCCCACTTGTCCACAATCACCAGGACCCGCCCACTCGTTCACAATCACCAGGACCCCCCCACTCATTCACAATCACCAGGACCCGCCCACTCGTCCACAATCACCAGGACCCGCCCACTCATCGCCACTCGTCCAAAATCACCAGGACCCACCCACTCGTCGCCCACTCGTCCAAAATCACCAGGACCCGCCCACTTGTCCACAATCACCAGGACCCGCCCACTCGTTCACAATCACCAGGACCCGCCCACTCGTCCACAATCACCAGGACCTGCCCACTCGTTCACAATCACCAGGACCCGCCCACTCGTCCACAATCACCAGGACCCGCCCACTCGTCCACAATCACCAGGACCAGCCCACTCATCCACAATCACCAGGACCCGCCCACTTGTCCACAATCACCAGGACCCGCCCACTCGTCGCCCACTCGTCCAAAATCACCAGGACCCGCCCACTCGTCCACAATCGCCAGGACCCGCCCACTCGTCCACAATCACCAGGACCCGCCCACTCGTCGCCCACTCGTCCAAAATCACCAGGACCCGCCCACTCGTTCACAATCACCAGGACCCGCCCACTCGTTCACAATCACCAGGACCCGGCCACTCGTCGCCCACTCGTCCACAATCACCAGGACCCGCCCACTCGTCGCCCACTCGTCCACAATCACCAGGACCCGCCCACTCATCGCCCACTCGTCCACAATCACCAGGGCTGCGTTCGAAACCGCATACTTCCCTACTATATAGTATGGGAAAAAGAGTAGGCGAGTTAAAAGTATGTACGAATCATAAAAGAGTAGGCGAGAATTACCTGGGTGACGTACTAATTCTTGCAAGATTCTGACGTATGTATACTAATAGTGCGTTCGAATATGCCTACTTTCCTACTATATAGTAGGAGAAAACAGTACGTGAAAGAAGCAGTACGTTCGAAACATCAGTATTCATAAAAGAGTAGGCGAGAAGTTCCCGGATGGGTTACTGCTTCCGGCCCGATTTTCGAGTGCTCGTCCGATGGACACTCTTCTATCCCAGGAGGCCACGCGAGAGTATACGTCATTATCAAACATCGCGGAGATCAGCGGCGCGGGGGTTTCAAATGTGAGTAAACACGGTTCCTTAACCGTGTTCCGGTGTTTAAATCATATGTGTTAAACTACTGTAGAGTAAACGTTTTAACTGGTGAAGGTGTAAAGGAGTTAGACAGTATAGTACAGTTGTGATTTTGCTGTAAAAACATGTTTTATTATGTATAGCTAGCTAACAGGGGAGCTCCAGTAAGCACACGTAACGTTATACGTCTCTAAAGTGGATTTACATAACCATATACATCTTAAACACGCTTATTTAAAATGTCTATTTACATCTGAAAGGAAAGTATTGCAGATGAGCACATGACAACATGAAAAAGTGATGTATGTGTGCTATTATGTAGGATAATTCACTGTTGTCAACACTGTTTATATTAGACAAATGTGCTGTAAATAAGGTAAATAAACAAATCTATAAAGTAACTAAACATGTTATATATTTTATATGTCCCTTATTACTGTTGATAAATTGAGGAACATTTAAGTTGGATAAAAAGTGAGTTAACACATCAGCTACAACCAGTATGTAGGCTAGTGTTGAGCTCATAAATCCCAGAGGTAACGTTAATGTGAATCTCGTCTGGATGTTACAGGGACAGAAGAACACGCGTGTGTGTATCCGGTGGAGAGAGGCTCATGATGCTGAATGCTGTCATCAAAGGCTTTGAGTGAGTGTACTACAGAAATGGATAACAACATCTATTAAATCTTAAATTGTAGTTTATTTGAATTATTGTAATTTCAAACATAGAAATTACAGCACTTTTCTGACTCTTGATTTCTGTGCATTTGCTGCAGAGCTTTTGTGGTGGAGCAGGACCTGCAAGGAAAGATGATGGCAGCATTTGTTTGAACCAGTTCAGTTTGTTCTGTTCAGTTTGAACCAGTCTCACTATCATTTTTTTAACGAAGTAGTGCAACAAATGAAAAGTACAAATTGTCCAATGGACTTTATTCCAACTAAATTGCTAAAAGAGGTTTTTAGCACAGTTCGGCCTTTCTTGTTGGTTTTTATTAATAAATGTCTTAGCTCAGGATCTGAGTTCAAACATGCTGTGGTTAGGCCTTTTCTTAAAAAAAACGAATCGGGATCCCTCAGTTCTGTCTAATTTCAGACCAGTTTCTCACTTGCCTTTTCTCTCAAAAGTGTTAGAAAAAGTTGTTTTTTTTCCAATTACATTCTTTTTTAGAAAATAACTCTCTGTTTGAGAAATTTCAATCAGGATTTAGATCGCGCCATAGTACTGAGTCTGCACTGTTAAAGGTACACAACGATATTGCCCGGTTTGTTGATGCTAAGAGCCCCGTTATTTTAGTGCTTCTTGATCTTACGGCGGCCTTTGATTCAGTGGACCATGCAATCCTTCTGTCTCGCCTTAATCACTATGTTGGCATTAAGGGTACTGCGTTTCAGTGGTTTTCGTCTTATTTGACTAATAGAAACTATTCTGTAGTGATTGGGAATTCGTCCTCTTCTACTACTTCTCTTTCCTGCGGGGTGCCACAAGGCTCTATTCTTGGACCGGTTTTATTTTCGCTCTATATGCTGCCCCTTGGGTCCATCATAGCCAGGCAGAACATAGCTTATCATTGCTATGCTGATGATTTGCAGATTTATTTGCCGATGAGTCCAATAAATGGTGATGCATTTGGGTCACTAATTGATTGCATTGACGACATTAAATTATGGTTAGAAAAAAATTTCCTTAATTTGAACGAAGATAAGACCGAATATATTTTATTTGGTGAGTCTGCAAACTCTGACCCTAATACATTCATTTCAAAATTTAGACCGACTGTCAGAAATCTCGGTGTGACTTTTGATAGTAGCCTGAAATTTGATAAACAAATTGACAGTGTGGTAAAAGCAAGTTTTTTCAGCTGCGTCTATTGGCCAAGGTCAAACCATTTTTAAATCGTTCGGATCTTGAGAAAGCTATTCATGCTTTTATTAGCTCAAGATTAGACTACTGTAACGCGCTTTACGTGGGAATCTCACAGTCATCACTCAGGCGCCTTCAGCTGGTGCAGAACGCAGCAGCTCGTCTTTTCACTAATACACGCAAATGTGAGCACATAACTCCAATTCTTTCTTCGCTCCACTGGCGTCCAGTTTCTTTAAGAGTTGATTTTAAGATTTTATTGTTTGTTTTTAAAGCTCTCAACGGCCTTGCTCCACCGTACGTAACTGAGATGCTAACTTTGCGAGAATCGAACAGGACTCTTAGATCAACAAATCAACTTTTGCTGGAAGTCCCAAGGACAAGGTACAGACTCTGGGGTGACCGGACCTTTTCTGTAGCTGGGCCAAGACTTTGGAACAAGCTACCTGCCGATTTACGAACAATCACTGACTTAGGCCCTTTTAAAGCTAAGCTTAAGACTTATTTATTTAGACTGGCTTTTATATCATAGCATTTGTTGAGTCATTCTGTGTTTTTTCTTTGTGACATACATTTATTATATATGGAGCAATCGGGATGCCTGGAGGCAACGATGGAAGGCTCGTCTGAGGACAACTTAGAGAGATATATCTTGATTATATGTTTTATTTTCATATTTTGCATTGTATTGTTGTTGTTGTTTTTTGTTTTTTGGAAAGCACTTTGGTTCACCTTGAGTGTTGTAAAGGGCTGTATAAATAAATGTTGATTGATTGATTGATTTGTTGGGAAAAAAAGGTTTTAGGGATTTTACTCAAATTTAAAGGTCATTTTTGTTATTTTTAATACATAAATCAAATGATATTGTGCTGTTAAAATGACTGCTTTTGTATAATGTTTGTGCATTTTTCTAGGATCTGAAGTCTGCAGACTGGTGTGAGCACTGAGGATGAGGAGCCCAGAGCTGAATCCTGGAAGTGGTGCCATGGATGAGACCCTCCATCACTCCTTCTGCCCTTATGAGACGCTCCATCTCTCCATCTGCTCTTATCGCCTCAGATTGTGAAGCGCAGCACAGCAACAAGCTCCGGCACGAAGGCACGGTCACCTCTGGTGAATTCATCAGAGTAAAGCCGCAGAATGGGAACCGCTGTATTGAGATGGCAGTAGATGTGGGGCTCAGCGCCTGTAAATACATGCTTGTAGTTTGAATAAAGATTTGTTTCATGTGTTGTTGAATTGTATATGCATTTCTTTATTGTGATGGTTACTTTTATTTGTTCTTTTACTCATTTATTCATGTTTCTTATTGTTGTCAGTATATAAAATATAATTATTTAATTAATGTATGCATTAATTCATTGCTTGACTAACAATTGAGATGTTTCACTGCATTTATCAATATAAATGTATTCATGCATAAGTATGTCATATGAGAAAACAAATTACATTTAGCTTGTTTTATTAAATTATATCATTTTTAGTATTATAAAAAAGTAATATATGTATTGACCAATAAGTATTGGTCAGCATTTAATATTATTATTTTGTTTAAGTTTTGGGGTGGGCGAACAATGCAATTCATTCTGAGATAATATTCATTTTTAAGGAGCGATACTTAAATTTTTCGAGTATAAAATCAACAGTTTTCTCCAAAGGAGATCTTCGAGCAGCGGCCCGTCTCTTTCGTGCAGACATTACAAACGCTGAGGAAAACTGTTCTAGGTTGTGCTGTCGAGTTACTGATGTTATGAAGTGTTAGTGCACCTGTCGCTCATATAATATAAACTTATTACACACAAGATCATGGAAAGATACCATAGTTGTATCTAACAATGAACAATCATGATGACAAAACAGAAAACATAAAGATCATTGGTTTGTGTACATCATAATATGATATTTATACACAGGAAAAAAGAACAATAACAAGGCTAAATATCTTTAAATAGTTCTTCATAATACATTAAAAAAATGTTGTTCTTATAAGTCTGAGGGATGAAACGAGAGGTAAATTCATCTAGAAAAAGAGGAAAACTTAAAGGAAAAACTTTTTGGGTATAAGGTATAAAATAAAGAAATTAACAACATATTCAAGAGATGACGATTTGGGGGTTTCTAAATAAAAAATTATATCGTTATAGCCTAAGGATAAAACTGTGGGTCACATAAAATATAACAACTTAAATCAACCCTAAATGTTTTCACAAAAAAACCGGGCAGCTGTTTCTTCAACAATACTACCACAAAATGAGCAAGTTCCATCAATATCAAGATATTTACGGATAGATGAATTAAAGTGGCGATCATATATTTTAAGTGGTTGCGCTTGTGATAACCATAGGGTGATAACGCGTCGTAGGGCACATGATAACGTCAACATGGCAGATGTCCGGATCGCATTCATACTCAACGAGATTTGGCTATAAAGTACCTACTCTTTTAGCGGTCGTTAAGTACTTATTGAAATTAAGTACCTACTCATTGACTATGCGGTTTCGAACGCAGCCCAGGACCCGCCCACTCGTCCACAATCACCAGGACCCGCCCACTCATCGCCCACTCGTCCACAATCACCAGGACCCGCCCACTCGTCGCCCACTCGTCCACAATCACCAGGACCCGCCCACTCGTCGCCCACTCATCCACAATCACCAGGACCCGCCCACTCGTCGCCCAGTCATCCACAATCACCAGGACCCGCCCACTCATCCACAATCACCAGGACCCGCCCACTCGTCCACAATCACCAGGACCCGCCCACTCGTCCACAATCACCAGGACCCGCCCACGCGTCCACAATCACCAGGACCCGCCCACTCATCCACAATCACCAGGACCCGCCCACTCGTCGCCCACTCATCCACAATCACCAGGAACCGCCCACTCGTCCACAATCACCAGGACCCGCCCACTCGTCCACAATCACTAGGACCCGCCCACTCGTCGCTCACTCGTCCACAATCACCAGGACCCGCCCACTCGTCGCCCACTCGTCCACAATCACCAGGACCCGCCCACTCGTCGCCCTCTCGTCCACAATCACCAGGACCCGCCCACTCGTCGCCCACTCATCCACAATCACCAGGACCCGCCCACTCGTCGCCCACTCATCCACAATCACCAGGACCCGCCCACTCGTCCACAATCATCAGGACCCGCCCACTCGTCCACAATCACCAGTACCCGCCCACTCGTCGCGAACTCGTCCACAATCACCAGGACCTGCCCACTCGTCACCCACTCGTCCACAATCACCAGGGCCCGCCCACTCATTCACAATCACCAGGACCCGCCCACTCATTCACAATCACCAGGACCCGCCCACTCGTCGCCCACTCGTCCACAATCACCAAGACCCGTCCACTCGTTCACAATCACCAGGACCCGCCCACTCGTCGCCCACTCGTCCACAATCACCATGACCCGCCCACTCATTCACAATCACCAGGACCCGCCCACTCGTCCACAATCACCAGGACCCGCCCACTCGTTCACAATCACCAGGACCCACCCACTCGTCCACAATCACCAGGACCCGCCCACTTATTCACAATCACCAGGACCCGCCCACTCATTCACAATCACCAGGACCCGCCCACTCATTCACAATCACCAGGACCCGCCCACTCGTCCACAATCACCAGGACCCACCCACTCATTCATAATCACCAGGACCCGCCCACTCATTCACAATCACCAGGACCCGCCCACTCATTCACAATCACCAGGACCCGCCCACTCATTCACAATCACCAGGACCCGCCCACTCATCACCCACTCGTCCACAATCACCAGGACCCGTCCACTCATTCACAATCACCAGGACCCGCCCACTCATCCACAATCACTAAGACCCGCCCACTCGTTCACAATCACCAGGACCCGCCCACTCGTCCACAATCACCAGGACCCGCCCACTCGTCACCCACTCATCCACAATCACTAGGACCCGCCCACTCGTTCACAATCACCAGGACCCGCCCACTCGTCCACAATCACCAGGACCCGCCCACTTGTCGCCCACTCGTCCACAATCACCAGGACCCGCCCACTCTTTCACAATCACCAGGACCCGCCCACTCATTCACAATTACCAGGACCAGCCCACTCGTCCAAAATCACCAGGACCCGCCCACTCATTCACAATCACCAGGACCCGCCCACTCGTCGCTCACTCGTCCACAATCACCAGGACCCGCCCACTCGTCGCCCACTCGTCCACAATCACCAGGACCCGCCCACTCATCGCCCACTCGTCCACAATCACCAGGACCCGCCCACTCGTCGCCCACTCATCCACAATCACCAGGACCCGCCCACTCGTCGCCCACTCATCCACAATCACCAGGACCCGCTCACTCGTCCACAATCATCAGGACCCGTCCACTCGTTCACAATCACCAGGACCCGCCCACTCGTCGCCCACTCGTCCACAATCACCATGACCCGCCCACTCATTCACAATCACCAGGACCCGCCCACTCGTCCACAATCACCAGGACCCGCCCACTCGTTCACAATCACCAGGACCCACCCACTCGTCCACAATCACCAGGACCCGCCCACTTATTCACAATCACCAGGACCCGCCCACTCATTCACAATCACCAGGACCCGCCCACTCATTCACAATCACCAGGACCCGCCCACTCGTCCACAATCACCAGGACCCACCCACTCATTCATAATCACCAGGACCCGCCCACTCATTCACAATCACCAGGACCCGCCCACTCATTCACAATCACCAGGACCCGCCCACTCATTCACAATCACCAGGACCCGCCCACTCATCACCCACTCGTCCACAATCACCAGGACCCGTCCACTCATTCACAATCACCAGGACCCGCCCACTCATCCACAATCACTAAGACCCGCCCACTCGTTCACAATCACCAGGACCCGCCCACTCGTCCACAATCACCAGGACCCGCCCACTCGTCACCCACTCGTCCACAATCACTAGGACCCGCCCACTCGTTCACAATCACCAGGACCCGCCCACTCGTCCACAATCACCAGGACCCGCCCACTTGTCGCCCACTCGTTCACAATCACCAGGACCCGCCCACTCGTCGCCCACTCGTCCACAATCACCAGGACCCGCCCACTCGTTCACAATCACCAGGACCCGCCCACTCATTCACAATTACCAGGACCAGCCCACTCGTCCAAAATCACCAGGACCCGCCCACTCATTCACAATCACCAGGACCCGCCTACTCGTCCACAATCACCAGGACCCGCCCACTCATTCACAATCACCAGGACCCGCCCACTCGTTCACAATCACCAGGACCCGCCCACTCATTCACAATTACCAGGACCCGCCCACTCGTCCAAAATCACCAGGACCCGCCCACTCATTCACAATCACCAGGACCCGCCCACTCGTCCACAATCACCAGGACCCGCCCACTCATTCACAATCACCAGGACCCGCCCACTCGTCCACAATCACCAGGACCCGCCCACTCGTCCACAATCCCCAGGACCCGCCCACTCGTCGCCCACTCGTCCACAATCACCAGGACCCGCCCACTTGTCGCCCACTCGTCCACAATCACCAGGACCCGCCCACTCGTCGCCCACTCGTTCACAATCACCAGGACCTGCCCACTCGTCGCCCACTCGTCCACAATCACCAGGACCCGCCCACTCGTTCACAATCACCAGGACCCGCCCACTCATTCACAATCACCAGGACCCGCACACTCGTCCACAATCACCAGGACCCGCCCACTCATTCACAATCACCAGGACCCGCCCCCATCTTCGCCCTGCCCACTCGTCGCCCACTCGTCCACAATCACCAGGACCCGCCCACTCGTCGCCCACTCGTCCACAATCACCAGGACCCGCCCACTCGTCGCCCACTCGTCCACAATCACCAGGACCCGCCCACTTGTCGCCCACTCATTCACAATCACCAGGACCCGCCCACTCGTCCACGATCACCAGGACCCACCCACTCGTCCACAATCACCAGGACCCACCCACTCGTCGCCCACTCGTCCACAATTACCAGGACCCGCCCACTCGTCGCCCACTCGTCCACAATCACCAGGACCCGCCCACTCGTTCACAATCACCAGGACCCGCCCACTCATTCACAATTACCAGGACCAGCCCACTCGTCCAAAATCACCAGGACCCGCCCACTCATTCACAATCACCAGGACCCGCCTACTCGTCCACAATCACCAGGACCCGCCCACTCATTCACAATCACCAGGACCCGCCCACTCGTTCACAATCAGCAGGACCCGCCCACTCATTCACAATTACCAGGACCCGCCCACTCGTCCAAAATCACCAGGACCCGCCCACTCATTCACA